TAACAGTTCTTTCTTTAACTCATCTCTCTTCTTGAAGTACCTTATTTTATGTTACTAATATAAACCAAATAATACTTTTAGCAGTCCTACTGGAAATTTCCTTAGCTAGATCCACAAGTTTATTAGGTATGTTTTTAACCTCGCAAGTTACTCGTGGCCTGAGTTTTGTTAATTGTTCTGTCACTACATAACAGAGTGCCTCCCACCTTTTCTAGCCTCCAGTATACATTTTTTAGTCTCACTGCCTTTTATAGCCTCCGTCATAGATTTTTTGACATTCTTCCTGTCTTCAGCTATAGACTTCTTGCTACTCTTCTGGTCTCCACCAATAGTCTCTTTACCACTCTTCCAGCTTCTCCTCACCTGCTGGACCCAAAGCCAATGCCTGATGTTTTAAGTTTTTCTTGTTGTGCCAACCCTGCATCTAGATATTTCTATTGCTTCATATCAAACTTCCCCAAAGTTTAGTGTCTTAAAACAATAATGATTTAGTATTTCTCACAATTCATGGGTTTGCTGCACTCAGCTAGGCAGTGTCTCTGTTTCATGTCATGTTGACTAAGATTATTCACACGGTACATTCAGCTGGGAGCTTAGCTAGAGCCAGAAATGTCCAAGATAGTTTCTCTCACATGTCTGGTGTCCTGTCATTCACTAGTCTAGCCCAAGCTTCTTTACCTGATGGTTGGGACCCAAGCAGGCAAAAGCAAAAACAAAAAAGCTTGTTATAGACTGGAATTGGAAGTCCTTAAAGTTTTTTCACCACGTTCTGTAAGAAAGTCATGAGGCTAGCCCATGTTTAAGGGGAGGAGTGGCATAGATTGGAATAAATTATCAGTGGCCATTTATGGAAATAATCCAACACAATATTCATTTTTTGTAAATATTCTAATGACATAAAATAATGCACATTTTCTATTGTTAGGTATACCAGTTAACTTTTCCTAAATAACAAATTAATCCAAAACTTAGTGATTTAAAACAGCAGATACTCATTATTTTTCATAGTGACTGGATAGGTTTTCTCTCTGGGGAGGCTTGGGTTGGGTTGGATGGTCTAAGATAGCTTTATTCACATATATGAGGTCCCACTGGAACATCTAAGACAGATGAAACCTCTTTTTAGTCTCTCGTCCTCCAGGAGGCTAGCCCTGGGTAGTTTATAGAAGGATTCTCAGTAGCAAGAGAGCAAAACGAAAGTGGAAGTCTTCTTGAGGCCTAATTTCAGACCTCAGATAGTGCATTGCACAGTAGTTCTCTCTTATCTGTGGCTTTGCTTTCCACAGTTTCAGTTACCCATGGTCAACTGTGGTCTGAAAATATTAAATGGAAAATTCCAGAAATAAACAATTTATGAGTTTTAAACTGTGTGCTGTTCTGAGTAGAGTGATGAAATCTTGAGCCATCCTGCTCCATCCTGCCTGTGACATGTATCATCCCTTTGTCCAGTGTATCCTCATTCTATATGCTGCCTGCCTGTTAGTCACTTAGTAGTTGTCTTGGTTATCAGATCAACTGTCACAATATTGCAGTGCTTGTGTTCAGGAACCCTTGTTTTACTTAATCATGCCCCCAAGGCACAAGAGTAGCAATGCTGGCAAATCAGATATGCCAAAGAGAAGCTGTAAAGTGCTTCCTTTAAGTGAAAAGGTAAAAGTTCTCAACTTAATAAGGAAAGAAAAAAATTGTATGCCGAAGTCACTAAGGTCTATGGTAACTTTTATTACAGTATATTGTTATAATTGTTCTATTTTATTATTTGTTGTTAATCTCTTACTGTGCCTAATTTATAAATTAAAGATTATCATAGGTATGTATGTATGTAAAAAACATAGTATATATAGGGTTAGGTACTATCTGCAATTTCAGGCATCCACTGGGGGTCTTAGAATGTATCCTCAGAGCTTAAGGGGGGTCTACTGTATTCTGTTGGCCAAAGCAAGTCACAAGCCAACCCAGTTTCAAGGAATGAGGAAATAGACTCCACCTTTTGATGGGAGCTGCTACAAAGAATTTATGGCCATTTGTAGTCTATCACAGTGGAGTATATTCTCTTTTCTTTTCTTTCTCTCCCCCTCTCACTTTCTCTCTTTATAAAATTCAATTAAATGTGGATTCATTTTATTGTTTTAATTCTGTATATCCTTATTAATTAGAAAATAGGCTAGGATGCTATTTAAAGAGACCTCATATAATTCAATGACTTAAGATAGAATGTTATTTTTCTCTCATGGAAAGTTTGAGTAGATGGTTTCAGGTGGGTATGGTAATTTGATGTTGTCTGGGACTCAGTCTTAACTTCTTGCTCTCATTTCTCACTGAAGTTTAGAGATTTTACCAGGCCTTATTATTATTATTTTTTTTAAATTTAGCTCAAGGAAGTTTTGTTTTGTATTTCTTTCATTATTATTTCTCTTTCTTCTTCCTTTTATGCCTCTGAAACTAATATTTGTATATTATGAGTCCTAGATTTATTCTTTACATCTTGTATATTTTCATCTTGGCTTCTACTTGTAAGTTTGTTCTATGCTATGAGGTATTTCTTCCATTTACAGTATTCCTAAATGTGTTCTCAGAAGGAGCCTTTCAGCTAGACTTTTGGGGGTGAACACGATGCAGTCTATACAGAAGTTGAAATATAATTATGTCCTCCTGAAATTTATATAATGTTATAAACCATTGTTACCTGAATAAAAAAGAGAAAAAACTAAAGGAACCTTTCTCAATCTCACTTCCTCTTGAAGTTTTAAGTTAAAAAATCATGTTTTAAAAACAGATCTCAGGAGACCCTAATTGATGGCTCTGGTGACATTGATCAGAGATTTCCATCAGAGTTCTCATTCTTTCTTTCTAATTATTTTCTGTTTGTCCCTTTAGTTCTGCTTTATAGGGATACCTCTTTGGATTGTTCAAGTTGCTTAGTTCCATGAGATGGTTTATTATATTTCTGTGCCTGTGTATGGAAGTGAGTTTCCTGAGTACCTCACAGGCCGTATATAGAAACCTCTTGAGCAGTGGATGGAAGGTTTATTTTTATTGCATTGCCTGCTTCTGTTTTTATAGATGCTATGTCCTCTCAAATTTCAATGAGAATAAAAATGTAGATTTAAAGCTTTCTTTTGTTTTTTAAAATAACTCTGTTTCAGAAGAGGACATTTACTATACACTTTAAAGACTTTCTTCTATTTTTGTTTGGCTTTCATTTTTTTCTGATGAGAAGCAAATAGCCATTCACATCATCGTTTCCCTATCTGTAATTTGTCATTTTTCTTTGTCTGCTTTGAAGATTTTCTCTTTTTACGTGGTTTTTAACAGTTTGACTCTGATGTGTGTGGGCATGGTTTTCTTTGTATACAACAACTTGGGATTTTCTGAACATCTCGAGTATGTAAATTTCACCAAGTTTGGGAAATTTTCAACTATTATTTTTCAAACACTTTTTCTACCACTTCTCTCTCTTTTCCTTATAGGAACATAATTGTATGTTAGATATTTGATATTATCACAGATGTTCCTCAGTCTCTATTCATTTAAAAAATTATTTAAAAAAATCATTTAAAAAAGATTAAAAAAATCTTTGTTCTCTCTGTCTTTAGATAGAAATTTTTTATTGATGTATCCTCAAATGGTCTGACTTTTCACTGTCATATTCAATCCACTCCTATGTTCATCCATTAAATTTTTATGTTCAGATATTGTATTCTTCTGTTCTAAAATTTCCATTTGGCTGTTTTTTATAGTTTGTATTTCTCTGCTGAGATTTTCATAATTTTATTTAGTATGAGCATATTTTTTCTTACTTTGGGTATTGTTATAATAGTTTCTTTAAAAGCTTATATGCTAATTCTAAAATCTGGACTATCTTGGGATCACTCCCTGTAGATTGTTTTTTATTTTAATAATAAGTCTCATTTTCCTTTTTCTTCAAATGTCAAGTAATACTAAATTGTATCTTGGATATTGAGAATGTCATTTTGTTGAAACTCTGTATTTTGCCATATTCTTGTGATGATTGGTACTATATTTCTTTGTTTTGCTTTAATTTATAATTAACATGATGGAATGCAAAATAAAGATTCTGTATTTAGGCAGCATTCTGATTGCATTTCACTTCTTTTAGCTTTTGCTAGGCTACCTAGAGTCTTCCCTATGCATATGTGATTCAGTGGTTAGAGGGGGACTTGGGCAGAGTTTATACAAACAGTTTGAGGCTCCTTCTCTCTGGCTCTCTTCTTTGTGTGACTTCTCTCTAACCTTTGCAGTGGCTGTGACTGCTGTAAACTCTGTCCTCTGGTTGGTAAGGCCTAAAAACTCAGGTTTTCTATCAGCTATTAGGTGCTCTGCCTGGCTCAGATTGTGCTTGCCCTCAGACTAGAAACCAGGAAACAAGAATCTTACCTAAGACTCTTCCTTTCTTTCAAGTCTCACCTTCTCTCAAGAATCTACCTACTCTTGGTTGCTCTCCAGTGCTGATATTTGTATTTCTTTCAGAGTTTGTGGTTATGTGTGGCAGGGTTTCTCCAGTAGAAACTTGCTCTGCTATACCATAAACAGAACTGAGGACTTTGGGTATGGCTCCTTAAACTGTCTTCCATCTGATGGAGAATTCTTGAGACTTTTCCTGTGTAATAGAATCCACTCATTCTCACAAAGCCAGAACTATGTTTATTTTGTGTTAAGGGTAGAGTTGCTTCTTTTCATAAAATTGGAAATGTTTGTATGTAAATATTTCAGGCCTAGAGAAAAGGAAAAATGAAATGTTTCATTTACTGTAGTTATAATTTGCCAGACTCAAGGTCACTTTGCCTGTGGAAAATCAATGGGAAGCTACAGGTATAGATATTATCCACCCATATGCCTGAGAAGCATACAGTAACTGTGTGCGCTCAAATTATCATCTTAGCTATCTTTGGAATTTAGAAAAGTAATAATTGTAACAGTAAATTAATAAAAACAAAAATACCAGAATGAATAATTTTTTTCCTTATATTATATTGTAGAAAGTAGCACATGCTCTGGAAAGTGAGAACAAAATCCTTCAGGAAAAACTGAAACAAGCTTTACAGGTAAAGGATATCATGTTCTTTTAAAATTGTTAACAAATAAAGGAAATATCTTCAAAGAACTTGTTAAATGAATAATTTTGACCTTGTAAACTAAGTCGTCTGTATATTTTACTGTTTTGCCAGGTTTTAAGTATATTCATTTTATGCAATAGCAATATGCTAATAAAATTAAATATTTGCTCTTATTTAACACAATCAGCTAGAAAGAGGAGTAAACTTGTTTAGTCAAGCAAAAAGAATCTATTTCAAACTGAGACAATATTAGATATAAAAGTAAAATCTTGCAGGCATTCCAGTTAAACTCAGTTAAACTAGGACTTTGGCTCTTACTGTTCTTTCTCAAATTGTTGCTAAACAATAAAATTAGAAATGAAAGAATCTACAAATATTTTCATAAGTGGATAGATAAAAGTATAATTATTTGTGTAGTACATAATTTTAATTCCAAAAAATACAAGATAACACACACATTTATTAATGATATAGTTTAAAAAGGTGGCTGGAGATAAAATAGATATAAAAAAAGAATGTTTCCTTTTTATCAGAAACAATCATTTAGAAAACATAATAGAAAAAATTGTATTCATAATGTTAGGATATCATATTTAACAAAAGATACACAGTTTTGTCTACTTAGAGTGTCCCTTTTATCATTATATACTGCCTCTCTTTGTTGCTCGTTGCTTTTTTTATCTTGAAGTCTACTTTTTCTGATGTAAGTATGGCAGCATCTGTTTCTTTTGTTTGTCATTAGCCTGGAGTATTGTCTTCCATCCCTGCACTCTCAGCCTGTGTTTATGTTTGGAGCTGAGATGTGTTTCCTGGAGGCAGCATATTGTTGGATCTTGTTTTTTCATTCATCCCACTACTCTGTGTCTTTTGATTGAAGAATTCAATCCATTTACCTTTAGAGTGATTATTGATAAATGAGGGCTTAATGCTGCCATTTTATCACTTGTCTTCCAGTTCTTCTGCATTTCCTTAGTTTCTTGCCCCATGTATTTTGGACTACCAATTGAGTTAGGTAGTTTCTATGATGGTTTTTTTTAGTTTTCTCTTTATTTATTATTTGTGTCTTGTTCTGATTGTTTGTTTAGTGGCTACCATGAGGTTTGCATAAAAAAATCTTGTAAGTTAGATAGTCTATTTTCTGATAACCTCTTATTTCCTTAGACTAAACTGATTCAATCCCTATCCTATTCCCCTTCTAAGTTGTTATTGTCACAACTTATTCCATTTTGTGTTGTGAGTTTGTGGTTAAAATGACATGATTATAATTCTTTTTGGTGTTTTCCTTCCCTTTATCTTTAATGTTATAATTTTTTGCTAACCTGTTATGATAGACAGCTGCAATTTTATGATTTTGTCTACCTATTTATCTTCTTATTCAAGGCTTTGTAACCCCTTTCATTTTTTTTCAGGTATGAGGGCCTTCTTGAGCATTTCTTGTAGGGGAGATCTTGTGGCAATGAACTCCCTTAGCTTTTGTTTATCTGGGAAAGTTTTTATTTCTCCATCATATCTGGAGGATATTTTCACTGGATAGAGTATCTTGCTGAAAGTTTTCATCTTTCAGAAGTTTGAATATATCATTCCACTCTCTCCTAGCCTGTAAGGTTTCTGCTGAGAAATCCACTGAAAGCCTGATAAGGGTTCCTTTGTAAGTTATTTTCTTCTGTCTTTCTGCCTTTAGTACTTTTTCATTGTCACTGACTTTTGCCAGCTTTGCTACTATATGTCTTGGAGAAGGTCTTTTTACATTGATATAGTTAGGAGAGCGATTGACTTGTTTCACTTGTATTTCCAGCTCCTTCCCCGGGTTTTGGAAGTTCTCAACCATTATTTCTTTGAACAAACTTTCTTTTCTTTTCTCCCCAAAGCCCCAGTACATAGTTGTATATCCTAGTTGTAAGTCATTCTAGTTCTTCCATGTGGGATGCCACCACAGCATGGCCAGATGAGCAGCATGTAGGTCAGCACCCAGGATCCAAACTGGTGAACCCCTGGGCTGCTGAAGCAGAGCACACAAACTTAACCATTCAGCCTTGGGGCCAGGCCCTGAACAAGCTTTCTGCTCCATTCTCATTCTTTTCTCCCTCTGGAATACCTATAATCCTTATGTTGCATTTCCTAATTGAGTTGGATGTTTCTCAGGGAGTTTCATCATCTCTTTTTTGTCTTAGTTCTCTCTCCTCCATCTGGAGCATTTCTATATTTCTGTCCTCCAGACTCTTGACTCGTTGCTCCATTATATTAGTTTTATTATTTAGGGAGTCCAGATTTTTCTTTATCTCATTTGTTGTGTTTTCCATCTCCAACATTTCTGATTTCATAGAACTATCTGTGTTTTCTTGTAACTCATTGAGTTATTTTATGATAGCTATTTTGAATTCTCTGTCATTTAGACTATATGTTTCTGTGCCTGCAGGATTGATTTCTGAGTGCTTGTCATTTTCCTTATGGTCTGGAGATGTAATATATTTCTTCATACTGTTTGACAGCATGTATTTGTGCCTCTGCCTAGTGATGGTCTCTGGTCATGGCTTCCACCTGCTGCCCCTGGGTAGGGGTCAAGAGCTGTGTATTCTGAGCCCACCAATATCTGCTACTTGCTTGCTCCAGCCACTGCTTTTCTAACTGCACAGGTGCTCTGGGTGACTGGCTGGGCTGGAGTGCAGGGCTAGCAGAAGGGCACTTTCTTTTGCCTGCACAATCCCAGGGGCATTCTCACACTGCCCTCAATATCTGCTCTCGTGGGGTGCTAGCTTGATGATGATACAACTGACATACCTTAGTTCCACTCTATGGGGCTTTCCCATGGGCTGTGAAGGGACTTGGATGGCAAAGGTGCTCCCATAGACAGCCACCCCTATGCCCTCTCCTCTTAGAGCTGCATGGTCCAGAGCCCTGGGTCACTGCCATTGGGAGAGGGAGAGGTGATTCCCCTTACTCCCTTCTACTTCCTCTGGGATGTCCAGGACCTCCACTTTTAGGCATATGGCTGTGTGGGTCTCTCAGATGTCTCAGATTCATATACCAATGTCGTCTGTTGGCATATGAATGTCCCTTTTGTTGTACCTTAGGGGGAGACTCTAAGGGGAGACATCACTCTGCTATATAATGCTGACATCACTCCAAAAATACATAGAGTTTTATATGAAGAAAAATATACTTTACTGAGAGATATAGATGAACGGTGAATAAATAGAAATTTATATTTTTGGTTTTGAAGCCTCAATATTATAAATATTCCAGTTTTCCATTTTCTCCAAATTGATATACAAACTTAAAGAATTTTACTTCTAGATACAAGTGGAATTATTTTTGAAGTTAGAATTATTACAGGATGTATTGGGATAAGAAACTGGTGATTATACAAAAAAAATTAAGGAGGATTTGCTCATCCAAAAATCAATATATAATGTAAAAGTATAATAACTAAAGCAACGTGGTTCTAAATTTGGTACTGAATGAAAAGTCCAGAAACAGATTCAAATGAATATAGTAATTTAGTATTTTATAGTTTTAGTTATTAAATTTTTTCCATAGAAGGATAGAATAGTCACAAAAGTAAAACTACTATGAAAAAAGTAAACTACTATGAAAAAAATGGTTAGGTCTCTAGTTCATGTAATGCACCCAGATAAATTACAAATTTACTTAGGATCCAAAAGTCATAAATGAACTATGATGATATTACAAGAAACACTGAGTAACAGTTATATGGTCTTGGCTAGAGCAAGGCCTTCTAAGCATTATACCACAAAGGAACATATTAGTATATTTGTCTATATATAAATTTAAAACTTTTTTATGGTAAAAAAAATCATGAAGTATAAAAATAAAGGGAAAACTCTTTACAGAATGTTTTAGATGAAGATCTTTTACAGATCTACGAAAAATGTGGATAGCCCTCCCCCTAAATAGACAAAAGACACAAGCAAGCAAGTCGTAATTTAGAAACACACATGGCCAATAAATGCATACAAACATATTCAATCTTACTGGTTATCAAATAAATTCAATTTAAGGTAACAGTGGGACAGAGTGTTTTTTACCTGCCACTTGGTAAAAATTTAAAGAACAGAAATATTTAATTGTGGATGTATGCTGAAATGAGCAATCTTTCACCTACTTCTGTTATCAGTACAAACTGATACTTTTCTGGAAGAAAATATGTAGTCAAAGACTTGGAAAAATATAGCCTTTTAATTGAACCATTGTACTTCTAAACATTTATTGTAAAGAAGAAAAAGTGTATAGAGATTTTTGTGCAAGTATGTATAATATAAAATTTTTAATAGCAAAAATGTTTAAATTATCAATATATCCATTGATAAGAAATTTGCTAAGTAGATTAAAGTATATTATTAAATGTACTTCTGTTACTTATTCTGATTTAGATATATATTTATTGTCATGGAATCATATATATGACATTTTTTGATGAATAGAGCATTTTATGTGAGTATAGTATAGTATGATCCAACTTAGTAAAAATTTAATAATACATATACATGTATGCACTAATTATATTTAGAAATAATTGAAAAGGGTGTACATCAAAATGTTAGTGAGTTTTCTGTGAAATTTATTTTTGTAAATTTATATATTTTTTTATAAAAATAACTTTTACTTGAAAACTAAATAAAAGTTATTAAAAGTGACATTTTAAAGAAAAATTTCATTCAAGAAGAAATAAATTGTCACATTTTCTTCTATTATTTGATATTAATTATCCTGGTTACATTCTATCACTTTTTATAATGTGCACCTTTTATTAACTTCATTGCACCTGTATAATAATTAGAGTCTTAAAAAAAGATAACCAGGAGAACCTCCTGGGTATAAAAATAGCTGTCAATGTGGAAAAGTTTTATTCATAGTTTTTAATTTTGATTTTGGGTCTGTTAAACTATGGGTTATGCCAGTGGTTTAACTTACCTTCCTCTAACTCAGTAAAAATAAAGTTGAGAAGTAATATGGGCATGGATGTATGAGGATTCCTGAAAGTTTTAATATTGGTAGGAAAATGTCACAAAAATTATGCTTGATAAATGGTTACCTTTTTAAAAACAGGAAGCTGAAAGAGCTAAGCATCAAGTGGACTATTTCCTAAATCAAGGGAAGAAGTTAGTTACAAGTGAGGGGAAGACCAAGACAACAATGGAAATGGATAATAGTAAAATAAAAGTTAAAGGTGAAAATTCATTGGAGAAAGAAACAGGAAAAGCACTGGTTGCAGATGCAAATAGACAAAGGACAAGTGATAAAATCCAAGAACATCAACAGGTAAGGAAGTAACTAAAATAGAGACAGTAATGTATGCTGTAAGAAGGTTATCTTTTTATATTATTATTAACTTCATTTGTATATATTACTTTTAAAAATTTTGTATGCCTTTTTCTCACTTGGACTTTTGCCTTTTATCTTCTGGGTATAGCAGTTAATTATTATCTTGAATACGACTCAATAAAAATATAAACATAAACATAAATATAAACATATTTGATTTTGAATGATCATTTAAGCATCTGAAATTTGAGAGCCAGAAAAAAATAAAATTTCAAAGGCTAAAGATATTTTGCTATAAAGCAATAAAATTAAATATAAATGCAAAACTATGGGGAAAAACCTCTTGAAAAAGAATTTATTTTTCTTTCTGTTGTGCACTGGGTTCAGAAGCTCTCTTGTGAACTTTGTTCAGATTTGTTAATTTATTTATGTCTTAGGAGAGAAAAACAGTCCACAAACAGGCAACTAAATTGATGAGTAATGAAAAGAGTTCAAGAAGTAAAGCAGTCATCGAGACCATAATTATGCGTGTCCTCCTTGTTCTAGCACTATAGCTATTGTCAGGTCCCTCATTTCTTTAACAGTATTTTATATTCTTTAGTATCCCTCCTTCTTGTTTTCAGACCAAAAGTATATGTGTTTTAGAGAGAGCAGAGCAAAACTAGCAAATGGTAAAGTAATAGAGTAAAATTGAACTAAAGGCCCAAGACTCTACCTTTTTAAAGAGAGTATGAACCTGTCACACAGTACTTTTATGCTTATTTTTATCTTTTCTTTTTGTATATAATTTTAATTGTGAAGTACCCTAGTTTATTCTTGGAAATATAAATAATGAAGAAAATTGTTCCGAGGGAAAGAGAAATTATTAAAATTATTAGGTTTTTTTGTACTGAATTGAATATAAAAGCAAATATTTCTAGAAATGCAGGTTTCTGTGAGCTGATTTAAGACAAATGGAAGCAGTACAATTTAAAATGTGCTAGTCATTTTATATCTATCTATATATATGTTAGTCATTTACACAATATTGTAAGGTAGCTATTATTATCACCCCCATTTTGAAGATGAAACTGAAGTTTAAAAATATTAAGTAAACTATGCAACGTCACAGTTAGTATTGTTGAGTTGGATTTCAAATTCAGTTTTTTCTGGCTCCAAAATTGTGTCTGAGGATGGCTTCTTTTCTTGTCTATATGGCTTCATTCAAACAGTCACTTTGTTTATAGCTTAGTGTTTTTTAATTTCCTAATATTTTTTCCCTTAATCCAAAATAAAAGTTGTCATGTATGGTAGGTTAATTATAGAAAATGTTAGATTAAATGGTAAGATGAATTTAAAAGTATAACTCCATTACCTAAAGTATTATTACCAGGTAACTTCTTTACCTTTAACATGGGCAAGTCATTTTTACTTTTAGTGGTTTTATAAATAGATTAACACACACTTGTCTTCTTGTGTATTCAGTTTAACATTCATTATTAAACATCTACCGTATGCTAGGTTGTTTGCATGGATGATGTATATAATGTCATTTATTCAGACTGGACTGCTCTGGTAATAATGAAACAAGAAGAGTCATTACTGGAGATTTTAGTGGAACGGAAGTTGTTGATACTATCACCATTTTCTTTTTTTTTTTTTACATTTTTTTATTGTGGTCTAAATAGTTTATAACATTGTGACATTTCAGTTGTACGTTAATCTTTGTCAAACACCATATAATGTGCCCCTGAAGCCCTTGTGCCCACCCTCCTCCCTGTAACACTAAATTGTTCTCTTTGTCCGTAAGTTTGTTTATATTCCGCTCCATTTTCTTATTATAGTAATTCTTCAATTAACTGTAATCTTACTTCTTTCCCAACCACTGTATTAAAACTAAATTTGTCAAGGTCACAACAAGTCTACTTGGTGCTGTTCTGAAGGATACTTTATAGTTTTATCTCACTTATCCTCTTAGCAGCATTTGATCATGTTTGCTCATTTATTTCTTTTTAATATAATCTGCATTTTGTTTTAGAGACAGCAAAATTTTTGGTTTCCCTTATATTTTTCTGGTGCTCTGTTTTTGGTCTCCTCTTGCTCTGTCCATCCTTTAACTGTTGGTATTTTTATGGTTCTGTCCTGCATTCTCTTTTTATTCCGCATACTCTTTCTGAGCATACTCATATACCTTCAACTTCAAGTGCCAAATAATCCCTTATTTCTAACCCAGATATCACCTAATTTCCAGACCTATTATTTATAAAAATACTGAATTTATCTGCTTGAGTGGGCTACAAGCATCTAGAATTCACCATGTCCCAAAATGAACTAATCGCTTTCTTCTTAGACCTATTTCTTCTCCCAATATTCACAATTTCCTGGTACCCTCATCTGCCTAATTGCTGAAAATAGAAACTTGAGAATAATTGTTGTCTCTTCCTTTTTCTTAATCCAATTATTAACCGTCAAATTCTGTCCATTTTCCCCAGTTTCACTGACAGTCCTCAAGCTTCCACCAGGATTCTAACGGGTCTCCCTCTCTCCAGAATTAACTATCTTCAGTCCAGTCTCCATGTTAGAGTCTAGTCATCTTTTCAAAAATTGGAATCTATTCATGTTACCTTCTTACCTAAAAATTTTAATGGTTCTCATTGTTCTTAGGTTGAAGTGCGAATTCCTAATTATGGGTTAAGGCTTTGTCAGATCTGGTCCTTTCCTGAGACATTAGCTTCATTTTAAATTAGCCCTCCAGCCCCATTGCACATACCTTAATATGCACATGCACATGAACATATATTATGCTTCAGCTGCAGTGAAATTCTATAAGTTCATGGAATACACCATGTTTTTGCCACCTTCATGGTTTTGCATATTTTGTTGTCTTTGCTTTTAACATTGTTTCTCTATCCCTCATTTCCTAAAATTCACCTGGTTAAAAAAAATGAATGTGGAACAAAACGTACTGTATTAGTTATTCTTTGCTGTATAATAAATTATCTCAAAACTTAGTGGCTTAGACAACAAAAATGTATTATCTTATAGTATCTGTAACTCAGAAATCCAGGTATGGCTTAGCTGGGTCCCCTGGCTCAGGGTCTCTCAGGAGGATGTAATCAAATTGTTGTCAAAGAAAAAACAGAGCTAGGCAGTAGTCCAAGTGGTAAAAACAGATTTTATTCAAGGCCATTGCAATAGGGGAAAAGAGACCTCAGCATAGAATCAGGTTCAATTCCTAATATACCCTGGACGAGTAAGAATTTATACCAGAGAGTAGGATGGGGGTGGGGGGTGTTAATGGAAAATTACTAAGAGGATACATCAGGGTTAAGGAAGATTTTGGCTAAACCAACCTAACAGGATCTTTCCTAAAGACAGGCCAGAATGATTGGACATCACCGGGGGGGAGTAGAGCATGAGGAATCTGATTAGGTATTGAGGACGATCAGATATGGAAGATGATGGACTGTTGCTAAATTGACTTATCAGGGTTCTTGCTAAAACTGGATTTTATAAGGAAGTACACAGATGGGCCTAGGAGAAGGTTCAGGAGTTTGACTAAAGTTTGGTCAAGTAAAGAATCTTTGTTAGTCCTACCTCATGTTCAAGGAAAGAAGAATGTCTCTTCTTTCCTTTGAACAATATGAGTCTGTTTCTTGTTTGGTCACCTTTTGTTCATTAACAACCAGCTGAATCATCCCTTGGGACTTCGTAGTAGAGGGTATTTGCTGAATGGTGCTACCATTTAATGAGAGGAGTTTCTATGAAAATAAAATAAAAATAAAGATTAATAGTTAAAAAACCCAGTTTCTGAGTCCAGAAAGAAGCCAGTCAAGAAGCTTTCTAGATGTTGGACTCAAAATATCTTTAGATGATGGAGTGAGGCAATTCCATTTTTTTTTAAAGATTGGCACCAGAGCTAACATCCATTGCCAATCTTTTCTTTTTTCTTTTTCTTCTTCTTCTCCCCAAAGGCCCCCAGTACATAGTTGTGTACTCTAGTTGTAGGTCCTTCTGGTTGTGCTATGTGGGACACTGCCTCAGCATGGCTTGATGAGTGATGCCATGTCCGCACCCAGGATCTGAACCTATGAAACCCTGGGCTGCTGAAGTGGGGCTCACAAACTTAACCACTCAGCCACGGACTGGCCTCACAGTGACAATTCTGCAGTGAATTTCTTGATGTAATTTGAATGTCTGTGGTGTTGGCATTGGGTGTTCCAGTGAACTTTCTGAGTGACAGCAGGCATGAAGGCTGCGCATACATAATCTGTCATGGTGATTTCCTTGAAGTTTATATCACGTCACCCAGCTTCAGCTTGGAAGTCTTTGGGAAAAGGACAGTTTTAATTCTAAATGATTCCAAGTCAGAAGGGAGAAAAATTAGAAACATTAAATTGGAGAGTTGTAGTCAGATACTGGAGAAGACTAGAATTCAGGGTTCAGTCCAGTTTAAGATAAATACCAAAACCTTAGAGACAATGAGCAAGACTAGAATTAAATACCCAAAGAGTGTGCTGTAGTTTTCTATCGAAACATAATTTCTCTCTCTATGATCACCCCCATTTCTATCAAAGATAAGATAAGACTAATTCTTTTGCAAAATAAGTCTAGTCTCATTAAAATTTGCCTGATTATTTACATAAGTGCAACAAGAATAGTGTATGACCACATAGGTCTTTTGAGTTTGCTTTGCTGGAACTTTTCATAAGGAATTTCAGATTGGACTTTTAAAAGCCCCTTGAGGCTAGGAAGCCAAGCCAAGGACGCTCAGTCAAACTTCACCTGAATTTATGTACAGATTTGGGTGAGTTTCTTTCTTCCTGAGGTCCTCAAGATATCCTGAGGTTCCTGGGCCTGCTGGGAAGTGATCTTCCTTACTCACCTGTAAGGTCAGAAACCCTGTTAGCAAGATACAAGGCAACTTTTTGAAGGGAGTTGTACTGACTCAGTAAAGTCAGACTTAGTTGCTTAAAACTGTCTGGTCATATCTGATTTTATGCATCATTCTCAAATAG